CCCCAAAACCCCAAAACCCCAAAACCCCAAAACCCCAAAACCCCATAGAACACAATTCATGATTAAAATCAGGAAATAAATTGACTAAGTTTATCAACTGCAGAGTATTACAAATTAAATTTTAATTTATTTATTTCTCCTGAGACCCAATCAATTTCAGATTCTTCCCTAAAATTTAGATTCCAATCTACTCTTAATTTAGAGAATAAATATTATAAAGTTGGCGTCGTCCATTTTGTTTTTTTCAATCTAGTTCTTGAAATATACATCCCCTCTACCTTCCCACTATATACTTTGATAGTCCAACAATCTACCAACGACATTAAGTCTGAGTTACGTGAGGTTACGGCAAATACCCTACTTGAAATCACAGAATGAGAAAATGTGGAAAAAATGATTAATGGGATAAAGTAATGGAGATTAGTGAAAATAGAACATTTAAACAATTAATAATAGAAACACTATGAGTCATGCCGCAAAGAGCAAGCTCATCTAATAGAGTGCGTCACTATGAACTGATTCATTTCTTGGCGGATCTCTTTCCGGCAGCTCTCTTCTTTGATCCAGCTTTCTTGGCTCCACCCTTCTTGGCTGAAGTTCTTCTTGGAACCTTGGATGGGGCAGCACTGGCGGCGGCGTTGTGGTTGGCAGCCTTGGGAGCAGCTCTCTTGATACCTCTTGATTTGGTGGATCTGCTTGCACCCTTTCCTTTTCCTGCTGATTTGCTTGATTTTTTAGCGACTTGTCCTCTGGCTAAAATGAGATTAAGATTCAAGTCTCTGATGTTCAGATATGAGGTATCCCACTCACGCATGTCCCGAGCAAGTCGGATATGCAACTCAAGCATCTCACCAATCGAACCAAACAATTCAGTCTTCCCGAGGGAGGACGAGTTGCTGAAGTATAGTGCTTGAGTTATGTTTGACATTATGTGGCGGGAACCATATCATAATATTCATAAATTTAACAACTAAATACTTACCCATTTTGTTGTTCTTATCGGTTAAGTTCCTGAAAATTTTTTCTATTATAATCTATAGTAAAGCTGCGAATTTATACCCCAAATCTGATTAAATTATAATAATTATCGCATATTGAATGGTCAGGATTGAGTCCCACACGAATCTCGCTTAATTTCTTCGAATTGTGCTCACTTTGGTAGGTGGATCATGAAGACACAGTCCTCAATGAATGTTCTTATCAGAAATATAATTTTTAATATTTAGATTTAATTTTAGTTCGTTACTTTAACTAATTTAAACAATATTTGTACTTTGTCCTGCTTTTTCATCGTCCTTTTCACTTTTACCCTTCTTTTATTCACTTTCAATCAGCAACTCACCAGGGAACCCTATTATTCTTTTAGGACTATATCATGCAGATACTCTAGAAGATAATAACTCAAGAGAAACATTGAATTCGAGAAGATTAATAAGTAAAACACTGCCTAAAACACTCAAAAATTCCTTAAATTTCACTTTTGCTACCCTGATTCAATTTCCTATTTTATCAATTTGAAATCATTTGCACTATATTATTCATTTCAGTGTCTAATAAACCCCTATACTCAATCAGAAAAGCAAAAAGAGTATCTAAGAATCTTAGCTCATAGAAGATTTTTAATCTGACCTCATTTTCATCATAATTTGTGATTTTTTCGCAGACTGCCAATCACTCTCTAAAATATCCTTTAGATTTTCAATGTCACAATCGATTTATATGAGAAAATCTTGGCATTTTTGTTAAGAGATAGTTTTTATATTCTTTCATAAAAATTGAAATTATAGAGAGATTTGTATATATTTAAGGTAAATTTTATGATCATAATGTTCTCTTAAGAATTAGTTAATTAAAGTCAGGGAAATTAGTTAGGGAGTCTATTAAACATATATTGGTCACTTTGAATCGCAAACAGGAGGCCCTACAATAGCAGAAGTAAAAATTCTCCATTCTAATGTGAATTAGATGTTAAGCAAAAGGAAGCAAATTTTATTTCCATTAAATTTTTGATCCACTTTATAATAATTTTATTAAGCATTTTTAATTTTATTTCACTCTTTTTATTTGATTTTTCACTTAGCAATCACTTGAAATGTACTAATGTTGCATGGGGTTTTGGGGTTTTGGGGTTTTGGGGTTTTGGGGTTTTGGGGTTTTGG